GATGTATGTACTATGGAGGGGTGTTCTACGGATGTATGTACTATGGAGGGGTGTTCCACGGATGTATGTACTATGGAGGGGTGTTCCACGGATGTATGTACTATGGAGGGGTGTTCCACGGATGTATGTATGTTCCATGGAGGGGTGTTCCACAGATGGATGGATGATCCATGGAGGGGTGTTCCACGGATGTATGTTTGTTCTATGGAAGGGTGTTCCACGGATGTATGTATGTTCTATGGAAGGGTGTTCCACGGATGTATGTATGTTCTATGGAGGGGTGTTCCACGGATGTATGTACTATGGAGGGGTGTTCCACGGATGTATATATGTTCCATGGAGGGGTGTTCCATGTATGTACTATGGAGGGCTGTTCCACGGATGTATGTTCTATGGAGGTGTGTTCCACGGATGTATGTACTATGGAGGGGTGTTCCACGGATGTATGTATGTTCTATGGAGGGGTGTTCCATGTATGTACTATGGAGGGGTGTTCCACGGATGTATGTATGTTCCATGGAGGGGTGTTCCACAGATGTATATGTTCTATGGAAGGGTGTTCCACGGATGTATGTATGTTCCATGGAGGGGTGTTCCACGGATGTATGTATGTTCCATGGAGGGGTGTTCCACGGATGTATGTACCATGGAGGGGTGTTCCACGGATGTATGTTCCATGGAGGGGTGTTCCACGGATGTATGTATGTTCTATGGAGGGGTGTTCCACGGATGTATGTATGTTCTATGGAGGGGTGTTCCACGGATGTATGTATGTTCCATGGAGGGGTGTTCCACGCATGTATGTTCTATGGAGGGGTGATCATGTCACATGACTGATGGCGTGTCGCGCTCACACGCGTGTCTTTTTTTCCACCGGCAGTTTCTGCGGGAAGATCTGAACTATCACGATCCAACCGTCAAACACAGCACGTTCCACGGAGAGGACAAACTCATCAGTGTGGAGGATCTGTGGATCACGTGGAAGGCCTCTGAGGGTGAGTGACGGCACTGAACCTCCGGAAACATGGCCGCCGCCTCCTCGCCCCCAGAACTGAACTCCTCCCACTTCACATACCGAGCCCCCAGAACTGAACTCCTCCCACTTCACATACCGAGCCCCCGGAACTGAACTCCTCCCACTTCACATACCGAGCCCCCAGAACTGAACTCCTCCCACTTCACATACCGAGCCCCCAGAACTGAACTCCTCCCACTTCACATACCGAGCCCCCAGAACTGAACTCCTCCCACTTCACATACCGAGCCCCCAGAACTGAACTCCTCCCACTTCACATACCGAGCCCCCAGAACTGAACTCCTCCCACTTCACATACCGAGCCCCCAGAACTGAACTCCTCCCACTTCACATACCGAGCCCCCAGAACTGAACTCCTCCCACTTCACATACCGAGCCCCCAGAACTGAACTCCTCCCACTTCACATACCGAGCCCCCAGAACTGAACTCCTCCCACTTCACATACCGAGCCCCCAGAACTGAACTCCTCCCACTTCACATACCGAGCCCCCAGAACTGAACTCCTCCCACTTCACATACCGAGCCCCCAGAACTGAACTCCTCCCACTTCACATACCGAGCCCCCAGAACTGAACTCCTCCCACTTCACATACCGAGCCCCC